CAAGAAATTTACAACTTTGGAAGAGGCACCCTTGCTCATAATAATCATGCACTTAGTATGTATGCTTAATAACAATTGACAGAGAAGATTTTTCAAAGACTCCATGCAATTTTACTATATACTCAAAAGAACCTCATCCTATCATTAAAAAACGTGGACCGGGAGTTATGAATTTCAAAAATCTTAAAAAGACATCCTTGCTCATCATAACCATGTGTTTAGTTTCTTTCCATAATATTCAGGGGCATAGAAGATTAAAAAAAAAAATTTCACTTTATATTCAGTAGGACCACCCACCCCATCCTGGGGCACAAATTTCACAATTTTGGAAAAGACATCCCATACACCTACTGTATCTGCTAGATACCTCCGAGCAAAGAATTAATGCAATTTCATTCTATAATCAAAAAAGCCCCGCTCTGACCCGGGGCCATTAAATTCAGAATTTTGGAAGAGGAACCCTTGTCATCATAAATTTGTACTAGTTTATCTGCTAAAATCCTAGGAGCAGAGAAAATTTGTAAAAGAAATAATGCATTTTCATTTTATATTCAACAGACAACCCTCAGAACCCCTGACCCAGGGGCCATGAAATTGACAATTTTGGAAGAGATACCCTTGCTCATCAAAGCCATGGACTTAGTTTTTACCTAAATACCTAGAAAAAGATTTTAGCATTTAAGTAGGGTCCAATGCTTATTACAACCATGCGAACAGTTTGACTGCTTGATGCCAGGAGTAAAGGAGAAGATTTTTAAAGATAGCACTAACTTTGGTGATTTTAGTCCCACCCCCTGAGGCCGGGGGGGGGGGGGGGGACAGGGACCATAAAATGCACAATTTTTGTTCCCCTTCACTCATACATATTCTATGCCCAAATTGGTTTGAAATTGGTTCAGCGGTATCAGAGAAGCTTAAAGTGTTCAAATGTTAACGCACGACGACGGACGAAAACAGATAGCAATAGGTTACCCAAATGACTTGGGTGACCTAATCAAATGAATACTTCTGTCTTTTATTTCGTTTTGCGATTATGAATAGAGCTTGTATGAGAACAGTCTTATGAGTATAATACAACAATCCATAGAAGTATAAAAGCAAGGTAAACAGATAGAAAAGATATGCCCCCAAGAAAAATAGGATCAGGGATCAACATTGAACAAAATAATTTAAAGTATATTTATTTTCTCCCAATGTGAATCATCATTTTCATGATACTACAAAACAAATGTTCTTTGAGCAAATAGACAGTATACACATATTAAACCAAACATAGACCCTCTCACATTGGCCTAGTCTTTCAAAAAGATTTTACCTATCAATTACATAATTTACAGTGATTAATATATATAACTGGTGAAGAACATAAGGGAATAACTTATTTCAAACAAGAGTACATATTTCCATATGAGCCCAGTACAGCCCTGACTAATGGGTTGAAACGATACGCAGAGTATTTCAAAGAATTAATGCAGTTTCATAATGTAACCAATAGAGCCCCGCTCTAATACAACACCGGAACCCCAGATCCAGGGGCTATGAATTCCATATTTAGAAAGGGGCATTCTTGCTCATCATAACTTTGCACTAAGTTTATCTGCTCAATGCTCAGGAGCAGAGATTTTCAAAGGATTAATATATGTTAATTATGTAAGCAACAAAGTCTTGACCTACATGTAACATCAGAACCCCTGATCCAAGGGCCATGAATTTCATAATTAGGGCCCCGCTCTTCGGGTGCCCTATAGTGATCAGTCTGTCCGTCCGTCCGTCCGTCTGAGATCTCTTGTCAGGAGCGTATCTTCTCTCTCCTTGACCCAATCTGGCTCATACTTCACCCACAGAGTGTCTTTGGGTAAAGGGTGTGTAGTGACCTTGAACCATGTTTCTAGGTCTAAGGTCAATGTCATAGCAGAATTATATGAAAAATCCTTGTCCGGAGCATATCTTCTCTCCTCTTGGTCCAATGTGGCTCATATTCACTCACAGAGTGCCACTGGTCAATGGATGTGCAGTGACCTTGAACGAAATTTTTGGGTCAAGGTCAAAAATAGCCTCTCTGTTTAAATTTTTGTCCAGAGCATATTTTCTCTCTCCTTGGCGCAATCTGGCTCATACTTCACCCACAGAGTGCCTTTGGGTAAAGGGTGTGTAGTGACCTTGAACCATGTTTTTAGGTCTAAGGTCAAGGTCATAGCAGAATTATATGAAAAATCCTTGTCCGGAGCATATCTTCTCTCCTCTTGATCCAATGTGGCTCATACTTCACTCACAGAGTGTCACTGGTCAATGGATGTGCAGTGACCTTGAACAAAGTTTTTAGGTCAAGGGTCCAGGTTAAAAAAAAAAGCCTCTCTGTTTAAATTTTTGTCCAGAGCATATTTTCTCTCTCCTTGGCCCAATCTGGCTCATACTTCACCCACAGAGTGCCTTTGGGTAAAGGGTGTGCAGTGACCTTGAACCATGTTTCTAGGGTCTAAGGTTTAGGTCATAGCAGAATTATATGAAAAGTCCTTGTCCAGAGCATTATTTCTCTCCCCTTGGTTCCAATGTGGCTCATACTTCACTCACAGAGTGCCACTTGTCAGTGGATGTGCAGTGACCTTGAACAAAGTTTCTAGGTCAAGAGTCAATTTCAAAAATAGCCTCTCTGTTTAAATTCTTTGTTTGGTGCATAATTTCTTTCCCTTAAGTCCAGTTGGCCTCAAACCTTACCAATTGACTTAGGGTACGGATCATTTGTGATTTTCCTTTCATATTTCTGATAGAGGATATGCAACAATTTTCATAGAGGATATGCAGCATTCGTGATTTTTGTGCCGTTTTTTTTTTTTTATGGAAGGTGTTGAGCACTCGTGATTTTCGTGCCATTTTTTTTTTATTATAACAAGGATAACATAGAAGCCCTTTAGACTTAAACAACACATCCCTTAATAGTACACAAATGTTCCTCTTCAAAATAAACCCTTTTCAGCTACCTTACATTTCCATGTTCATTGCTGAAAGCGGGGCCCTTTGAGATGGCCACAATCTCAGTGATATCTAGTTGTGGAAAGATGAACCCTTTTCATCGTAACTATGTACTTATTTTTTCCCAAAATAACCTGGGTGATAGAAGTTTGTTAGAGAATAAATATATGCCCCCCGCAAACGAAATTGGGGAAAGTAAATAGGAAACACCATGTCCATCTGTCTGTGCATTTTTTTTTCGGAATATATCTTTGTAATGGAGAATCATTGGAAGCTCATACTTAGTTAATAGATTGTTTATAACCTGAGATTGTGTCATAATCTTGAACTATGTAACTTCGGCATCATCATAATAACTGAAAAAAAACATAAATTTTTTGTCTAGGCTATAATTTTGTAATGGAGAATATGAATGAATGCTCATGCTTGGTACTAAAATTGTTTATAAAGTTAGTGTGTCATGGCTTTGACCCAAGGTCATTCAGGCATGATCAACGTCAATAGCTGAAAAAAGATTTCTATCCTTAGTATCTATACCTTCTTGGTGGAGAAATATTGTAATTTCGTACTTCATAAAAATATTGCTTATAACCTTAGAGTGTAAGGACCTTCAGCCAAGGACATTCAAATGAGTTCAAGGTCACTATAAGAAATATGTTCAATCCCTGCCTTACATGTGATCTGCAGGTATGTATTAATCATGACCCAAGGTCATTTCAATGAGTTCAGGGTCATTGGCAAAATGGTTTTTTTTTTCGTGTCCTGTCTGTAACTCTCAAACGGAGGCGAATTGATAGTTGTAATTGACGCAAACATTGCTTATGACTGAAGAATGTGTCATTATTTAACCCAAGGTTATTTAGGCAAAGTCAGTGGCTGAAAAAAGTTAATTCGTCACCAGTTTATAATTTTCAAATGAATAAACATTAGAAACTCGTACCTTTCACAGATGTTACTTATGTCTCGAGATTCACGACCTTGACTCAAGGTATTCCGGCAAGTTCAAGGACACTGGCAGAAAGAGTTAAAAAAATTTCGGAAGTTGCAACTTTCAACAAACATTGAGCTAAAAATATGTCATAATTTTGACCCAAGGTCGTTATGACAAGTTCAAGGTAACTGGCAAAAAGTGTTCAATTCATGTCAAGTCTAATTTTGCAATCAAAGTAATATTGGATGTCCTTTATTTCACTCAAAAATTATTTATGAAAAGAGGATATGTCTTTATTTAACCAAGGTCATTTTGGCAAATTCAAGTCAGTTTATAAAATTGTTAATGGGGACGTTAAAAATTGTAGCGGGGAATATTACTTTGTGAGCTCTCTCGCTCACAGTACCTTTAATTTCACTATATAATAACAAGAGCCCTGCCCAGACACCAGGACCCCTTACGCATGAATTACCCATGAATTTCATAGTTTTGGAAGAGTCGCCCTTGCTTATTATAACTATGCAATAATTAATTTGCTAAATTCCTTGGAATAAAAGTTCCAGAGAAGCTGAAAATGTTCAAAACCTTAATACGGAAGAGGAATTAAAACAGATAGGTCCTGAGTGACTCAGGTGAACTAAAATTAATATGTCAACATAATTTGCATTTTGATACGATTAGTCGTAACACTGATTGGTTCGTGTTGCAATTAATCGATTGACAATTCTGTATTTGATTACCATCCCTACTTTTAAACAATTATGAAATTCAATTTTAAAAAATGAAATAGTTTCATGTTGAGTTGACCTATTTTTTCCTCTGAAAAGTAATGCTTTCTTTACATTGTATTCGGTTTCTAAAAAAGTTAAACCGAAATTTAAAACAACTTGTCTGGTTTCTAGGATTTATGGAGAGCCTAGAACAAAGAAAATGAATCAAGAGATTAATTTCTATACATCTTGTCAACAATGTAGAACACAATTAAGTTTTAAAAGTTCGAGATTTTGCACTCGTATATAGTGGGTAAGATCAATACTGGTTCTATAACTAAGTTTAAATTTCTCTCAGACATTAAAATTTCAGGTTGTTTCATTTTCAGGATTTCAAGATGAGCTTCTTTTTGCGACAGAGGTGGAAGGATGTTCGATTAAGCCACAATTTTAGTGGCATCTCCGTGCTTGAACTTCATCATTCGGCCATCGAAGCTGTCTGGGTTCCCGACATTTACTTTGTCAATGAAGAGACGGCCCATTTTCATAGTGTTTCTGTTCCAAATAAAATGTTAAACATATATCCCGATGGTGAAGTGTCCTACAGCGTACGGTAGTATATTATTAATACTTCAGGAATCTCCGTTTATATGTTCATTATTGATAACTCGATTACTTAACTTAATGAAACTCTTTCTTGGTGGTGGTAGGAAACGTCTCTGTTAGCTGGGAGCAATTTGCTGTTAAATTCAACGCGAGGTCGACCATTGTGGATTTAGAAGAAATAGATGAAAAATAAGTCCAGATGAAATATTTTGCGGAACATTCACTGAACCATGCTTATAAAACTTGAGAGGAGCTAATTCTCAGGTGTTACATTTTAATTTCATTGATTTGCCGATTTTCCTAATTAAATTCAGCTATTTCTTTCTGATAATCGTAACATTTGAAATCTGATAAAATACTCTAAATATTCTTAATAAAATAATTTACTGTTTAAAATTCAACCTTTAACAAAACATTGTACTTTCGGCAAACTGATTGTTCGAATCATTCGATTATTACTAGCGTGAACAATGTTATGCCCCGGGAATCTCGCGAGATTGAAAGCTTCCTCGACGTCGCCGAAAAAGAGTGGCATTAAGTTAAATAATTGTGAGGTAATCGCGATCTTTTCAGAATGTTTTTAATTCTGAAATCAAAATCAATTCCTGTTTTCAGAGTTACAGGGACATATGCATGCCACATGGATTTGCGAAAGTACCCCTTAGACAAACAAATATGCTCTGTGTCAATAGAAAGCTGTAAGTATTTGCATTTTATGTTTCAAGTGAATACTGAAAGCTGAAAAAAAAATCCCGGACATCTTTAAATATATTCAAAAAACGGTGTTTTCGTTAATATACAGCTGCATTTATCCAAATACTTTAAGCTGATATCACACACAAAGGCAGGGATGCATAATTTCTTCATTGTGCATACTATATTCATTAATATTTATTTAATAATAATATTAATATCATGAGTAATGCGAATATATATAGCTAATAAATGTTTTTACTCTAACCTTTGCCTTGGACTGTTTGAGATTCCAGCTCTTCGGAAAGTTGTACTAATACATTTATTGAACTACCCTTTGCAAAATCACAAAGATTGTTCAAGAAATAAAATTCTACTTCTGCATTCAACGTTTTTAAACTTAACAACTGTCCATCTCTTGAAAATGGTTGAAGTATGCAGAGGCTTTTTTACATTGGACAGATGGACATAGTACAAGGTCATTGTTGGTTCGCTGGAAAATACCACCAGTCGTTCTCAGCAGAAACATTAAGATGACTCAGTTCACTATTGTGAAAACAGTACCTTACACGTGTGATCAACAATATATGGAGCGTAAGTTGATTCTCTCAATATCAATTTGTTTTAAATATAGTTTACTAGTATGAAAAAAAAATCGTTTGAGAAGACTTGACTTTACCGGTCCCCAGATCCGCGCGCTCATTGCACTATGATGTGAAAGATTTATGTCTGATAAGTGATAGTTTTGCACACTACTCGACTGGTTAGGAAAGTCTTGAACCCACCTGAGAGAATAGGGTTAGTTCTTGCACAAGTGCTCGATTGAATGGTTTAGTTTCCATCCATCCGAGAGCTTAGGGTTAGTCCTCGCGATCGCTCATTATTTGACTGATTAGGGTTAGTCTAGCTAGCATCCGTCTGGGAGATTTGGGCTAGTCCTCGCATACCATCCAAGAGATTAGGGTTATCGTCTTGTTCTTATACATTAATTAATTCAGTTGAATCTATTTTCGCAAGATCTTAAATGAGTTTAAAAGGCATCTCATAGGTTTGATTATATTGAAAAATGGCTTAGTACGACAGAAACGTCACTAAGCATGCATCGCACGCACTTCGCTGGCAATTATAGTTTTCGATTTTTACTGAATAAGCAACATTTTCGTATTCATTAATTTTCGTTTAAAAACAAGGTTTCTAACTTGACTTTTATCCTTAGAATTCGAGTTATGGACACTTTTTTTAGCTCGTTTTCTCGGGACCAATTGAGTAAAGTCTTTCTCTTGGTGTTAAAGCCATGATCAATGTTCCGAAATATTCAAAAAGATTAATTTGTTTAACTATTTTGTAAATATATTCTTTGCATCCATTACTCTCTATTGTGGGATCAATTTGAAACAAATCTGTAAATCTTGAATCTTAAAATAATTTAATTTACAGATAACTATTCCTGCATTAAACTTGACCTGCACATGACAAGGATGAATGGATTTTATTTTATTCATATGTATGTGCCCTCCATCCTTATCGTCATGCTTTCCTGGATTTCTTTCTGGCTCGATATCGAGGCTACAGCAGCAAGGGTTTCCTTGGGAATTCTCACAGTACTAGCAATGACGACACAGAATAATTTTACGGATATCCAACATGTGTCATATGTAACAGCTATGAATGTGTGGACAGCTGCGAGTCTTGCTTTCGTTTTTCTTGCTGTTGTTGAATATGCTTATATAAATGTTCACACTCGAAAACATATCAGAAAGACAATGACAAATGCAACCAGTACAATTTCTATGAACACCACAAATCACAAAATTAATAACAACATTATAACCATTCCGAATGTAGAAGCAAAAAGTATTCAGGTAAGAATTTTATCACTTGCAAATAAATTTCTTCTCTTCCAGATTAGATGTAAAATAGGTAGATATCGTAGCTAACTATTTTGAATTTTGCTGTGACAATTTATAAAGCAAGAAGAGAAACGAATCAAAATAATAGAATCCATATTGTTCTATTGTAGGGTTCTGGGAAAAAATATATTCTTAACAACATGGATGTGGACAACAAGAGAGGAAGAAGAGTGGACCGCTACGCACGCTTCGCTTTCCCAATTTGCTACATTTTGTTCAACATCGTATACTGGTCTTTTTATATGGTATGGGAACCTGTAAAAGATACAGCTCCGTGAAGCATACTGACAATTTGTACATGTTGTAAGATGCCTTTTTGTCGGTGTTCAGTATGTAGAACGAAGAGTGTCTCATGATCAATATGATGTCGAAAGAACTTCCAAAAAAAAAACTTAAGTGATCTCAGATTTCTCACTTAAAACACGTCTTTGTGTCATATAAAATCTATATGTATTATGTATGATATTTATTTGTATCATGTTTACAATTATGTCAAGCTAAAAAGTCACCTGGAGAAACTTTGGCAGTTATCCTCAAAAATGTGTCTCAATCTAAAGTACATTTTACCACATTTGTTTCTTATTTGGGTATTTACTAGAAGAAGACGTAAATGGTAACCTAAAAACATAGCTCTATGATAAACGTGATGACTACAACTTTTCAATCGTCAACATCCTTTGGAACGACTTTACTTTACCGGTCCCCAGAAAAACGCGCTAAAATATAGTGTCGCCGTAGGCAACTTCAGTATATATGAGATCGCGTGAGCGATAGAAAAAAAATAAAAGTATGAGGTTTTTAGCCTTTTTGACCCCAAAATTGAATTCTACGGTTAAAAGTTTAGTTTAAAACTTCGTTTTTAAACGAAGTTTTTAACCTCGTTTTCAGATAAAAAGTGATTAATATTGTTTATTCAATGAAAAAGAGACGAAAAATAATTGTCAACAAAGCGCGTGCAGCGCATGCTTAGTGCCGTTTCTTTCGTACAAGTTTAGCCATTTTTTTTTTCATGTAAACAAACCAAAGAGATGTCGTTTTAAAAAGCTGAATTAAGATATTGCAAAAAATACAGATGCAACTGAATTTCTTAATTTATCTAAAAAAAAAAAAAGAGCAAGACACTAACCCTAATCCCTCGGATGGTGTGCGAGGACTAACCCAAATCTCCCGGGCGGATGCTATAGACTAACCCATGTGCGAGAACTAACCCTAATCTCTCGGATGGATGCGAGACTAACCCAAATCAGTTGAAAACTTGTGCAAGGACTAACCCTAATGTCTCAGGTGGGTGCAAGACTAACCCTAACCAGTCAAAAAATGTGCAAGACTAACCCTTATCAGTTGAGTGACGTAAATCTTACGTCATAGTGCAATGAGCGCGTGGATCTTGCGGATCTGGGGACCGGTAAAGTAAAGTCTACCCCATCCCTTACTTATGTAGCAATATATCCTTATCTCCTGCATATGGGGTTTATGTCTCTCAGTTAATTCTATACGTAAGAGCATGCTCTACGTGCGAACAATTTCTAAATTGAGGCAAGTCATTAACAAACAAGTTAATGTAACGTGAATATCTACAGTCTCTTTTACTTTAAAGTCAAGTTCTTTGGTCGATACAATAACCTTGTCAGCAAATACATTCTATCATTAACTCAAATACTGACTGACGTTTTCATACTAATTGTTAGGCCATTATTTACACACTGAATTGTCTACGGATTATCCCGTTTTTTCCTGATCATGACAAAGAGCACACGGCGGGTGTGACCAGTTGGCAGGGGATGCTCACTCCTCAATGGCACCTAATCCCACTTCTGATGTTTTGGAGGTCCGTGTTTGCTCTGGTCCTGATTTGTATTGTTAGAGCAGTGGGGGTTCTTTATCGTGCCAACGCCTGCCGGGACACGGGACCTCGGTTTTTAAGGTCTTATCCAAAAGACCAGCGATTCCTAGTGCCGGGCGCTTGGCAAAGGAACAGTCACTACCTATGTTTACATCTTAGGGTTGAAGCAGCGCACGGAGCGAAATTCGAACCCCGGCCTCCCGGTCACGAAGCGAACGCCCTACCCATAGGCTACCGTGACCTTATACATATTAAGTCCATTCTGTCAGTTCACAACTGGATATGGCACAGTCTTGATTGTAGGAAGCAAAACAGACTTTTGCTGCTGCTTAAATCAAATGCCGTACTCGATGCGATTGGTCGATATTATCATGGCACTGTTGGGTTCTCTGTTTCATATACAAAGTAGTATTCATTCCATTGAAATCATAATCCAATAAAGAGTAAAACGGGAATCAATTTATGAAAGAACCACGCACGCTAACTCTCGATGTCCGCCTACATTTTACACCCTTTTAATTCAATATAAATGGCAGTTTGGTCATTAAAACTTGATTGAATTCAAAGAAGAGTTCATAATTAATTGATTAATAATTTTAAAACCAGTGTCAAAAACTTGATTGTTTCTATTTACGACTTTTTTTCAAAAGGGGGGGGGGGTTGACCACTTTATACAATGAAATCAGACTTTAAAAATTTGGGTGGGGGGGGGGGGTTTAAAAAATATTTTTCGTTTTCCATTGATTTCTATAGTGAAAAACGCCAATTTTTCAAATTTTACCAAAATTAGAGTTATCTCTCTTAGTTTTCCCAAATATAAATTTAGATTTTATGAAAATTCACATAAATATCATTCAAATATGTTAACTTTTGAATTTTGACTTGAAGGTATGCGGCAGAACAATACTATCGTTTGCAGTTCTTTCATGATCAAGCGAGGTCATACGCTGTTATTGGAATGACTGGAATTTTGCAAATTCAAAACAAAAAAATTGCATTTGTGTATTGAAAGAAATTATACATATTAATCTACCTATTAGGCAAAATATACGTCAAATAGATAGAAAATAAATAATAACATTAAAAAGTTTTAAAAAACCAAATCTCTATACGGACAGCACAACCACGCGGTGTTGTGACCTTGAAGTTAGCTGGTGAAACAAGTAATTCTGATCGAACCTGTGTATGTATGGTTACTAAAAAAAGAATTTTCTGTGAAATTCTTTTGAATTGATGACCCTGACCTTTGATCTTTTGACCTCAAAATTATTAGAGGTTATAGAGAGTTGTGGTATACAATTTCATTGAAAATATTTAAGGTTTCTTGAGATATCAGTGTTACAAACAGAATGTATGAATTACCGACCTTGACCTTAGAATCAATTAGGGTCTTTATTAAGCCATAAGGAGTTGTGGTTTAAAATTACATTGCAAAAGCTCAAAGGTGATACCGTCCGGAAACGAACGTGTTTCATACAGACAGAATGTGAGAATTTGTGACCTAGGCCGTTGACTTTCAAATCAATAATGCTCTTCTTTAGGCCATAAGGAGTTCAGACTTGTCGAAATTTTATGGTCCTGTCAGCATGGTCGGTAAAAGGTTTTCTGGACCGATAACTATCTAGAAAACGTCGGTCCAGATGACCGTTTGAAAAATCAGGCTTAGTTCGAATTTTTAAGATCGAGATTGAATGCGCAGGTGAAGGTAACACAAAAAACAAAAATGTCCGCGAGGCCGATAAAGTTGGTGAAAAGCGTTTTAACTGACCGAAAAAAGGAAGATTGAAAAGAAGTAAATTAATGCAGATACCAGATGTCTTTCTGAGTTTGAAGAGAACTGAAAAGTTGACCTAGAGTGGTTGAATATTATAGCCAGGAAAGGGAATGACGTTTTTCTGGTGCATTGAGGCTGGTGTTAATAAGGTAATAATAAATACTAGTTCATTACGGGCTCAAAAAACATTATCGATCATACCATGAAAAATCAGCAAGTCATGTAGCTGCAGTAAAGGTCAAAGAGGCTCGAAAAGCAGCAGAAATGAAAGCAAGTGTGGCACATAAGACACTCATATTAATGAATGAGGCACAGAGAAAGCGAATCCAGAACATATTTAAGAATATTCATGCATTGGTGAAAAATCATCGTCCACTATCAGATTTTAAGTGGTTGAAAGAACTAGATAAAGCCAAGGGTTTTGATGATAGAGACACTTATAATAATTACCAAGCTGCAGCATATTTTTAATCCAAGATTCCTCCAACTCTCACCCATGATTTTAAATCGTAACATGTGCAAGGGAGAGTCAGAGCGGAAGCCACATTGAAAAGTGGGAATTCAGCGACACCAGCTGGCGTCGCAACGCTGCCTACCTTTAACAACTTTCTTTCACGGATCTAACTTCCGAGACGCGAGAACTCGGTAAAGGGATGATTCTTCTACAACATAATCAACCCTAATACGATCCTATCGCCATTGAAACGGCTCTATTACCGACAAATGAAGCATCCCTTGAATTAGGTTGCCTCCTCGCCATTCTATTTTTTTACGCATGACGTCAGCACATAAGTAAACAAACTATCACATAAACAAATTGCTGCCATTTTTTTCTGATATTGGCAAAGAGGCCATTTTCGACAGTTGCTTTCCTTATCAATAAGATTAATGAAACACCATTCTGTAATTTTCTGTGCGTTTTCACAGCTCTGTGCGTTTTCACAGCTCTTTCATGTTGTTTTGAGCTCAGTCGGTAGAGCGCTGGCTCTGTGATCGGAAGGTTGTTAGTTCTCATCACGGCCGCGACTTAACTAAGTCGATAAAAATAGCTAGGAAGCAACTGTTCCTTCGCCAAGTGCTCGGCACTTTGAAGTGGAAATTGCTCGTCCTTCGGATGAGACCTTAAAAACCGATCGAGGCCCCGTTTCACGGTAGGCACGATTAAGAAGCCTCACTGTGTGCCAAGTAAAGGTCTAAATTTGAAGCTTTTCATCGATATATGGTGACGTCTCTGTATGAGTAAAAAATTCTCGAACGGGACGTAAAACAACATAGATTCAATCAATCAGTCATGTTTTTGTGAAAACACCACACGTGTTTAGACCACGTGTTAGTTTAAATCCTATTGGAATTTTGTGTTTTTGTGAGCAGACGACATCCAAAGAAAGCGAGTGGCGAGGAACCAATCAAAAGTCATGTGCAAGGTTAATGTTTTTGCGGACGAACAAACGGCAAAAACTATGTGCCCCCCAAACCTTCGATTACGGGGACACAAAAACGTAATAAACTGTAAATTCAATATTCTGTAATTAGTTTCTAAAACATCTTTCGTATTTATCAGATATTTTCCAGCCGAAAGGCATTATGTTGCTATAATTGTTTTAATCGTTTACCTGACCTCAACTTCCCAAAATTATGTTGCTGTCGGAAACCCTACACTATTTTGCTCGTGCAATTTTGGTATAACATACATCTGTTACCCCTTCATCGTAGAGTAACTTTTTCAAATAACACCGTATATAATAGGTAACGGGGGGATTCGCTTAAAAGTTTGGGGGGACGTTTTTAACGTACTGGGGAGAATGTTTTAATGTTTTCACCGCTTCAGAGACAGAAGGAATGTGGGTTATGTCTTTTCTCGGTTTTTGTAGTTTGCACAGTCTACGTCTTGCGTCGGGGTTCAAACAGTTGAATGTTTGGGA